GGTATTGCAAAAAAGTAGAACGTTTTCCAGGCGAGCACAAGAAAAATGATTGAGAGGAAAGAGAGGAGCAGAAGTCCTGAAAACTAGCCATTTTGATCCCTTTTTCCATACTATTGGTATGGGAACTACTCTACCACAAAGGGAATATTACCTTAAGGCCTATGCATATGGAAAGGCCATATTTGGGGTACACAGGAATTTCAATGGGCAGGGAGGTGACGGGAGGAATTGGGGTGAGGGAAGTTGGAGTGGGAGTCTTGGAGTGGGAGGCAGAAATTTATGGTGTGGGGGGAGAGTGGAGAATTGCTACAGGTATGAGGTGAGGTACTGAAGCCATTCCCAGGCCGGGTTGTGTCACAGAGATGGGTACTGGGATCTTCTGTGCCAACAACAGGTGACAGCTTGAGCTGCAGGGCCCAAGGCATGAGGTCAGAAAGAAGCCCGTGAATGATTTCAGAACCACGGTCAGCCCCTCCTCCCCTCCCTCCCCGCCCCCGGCTCCAGAACTGCAGATCGGAGCGTCAGAGGGAAGCTGACCTTTGATGTCCACAGACACCTCAAGGTCAGCATGTCCAATATGGACTCCCCACCTTCCCTACAAACCTGGGTTCTTTTTCCAGAGCTCCTGTCTTAGAATCACCACTTGCTCCTTAAACATGGGAGTCATCTTGGACTTGTCTCTCCTTTTCCCACATTCCAAAATCCCAATGTAGTTGACATCAGCCCCACCCCTTCCAGAAAGTCTTTGTAATTCACCCTTTTCCCCATCTATCATTTGGGAGGGGGTGTCTGGATTACTAAAACATCCTACTAATCTCTGTGCCTCCAGCTCTCTCCCTGCTAGAAACCACTTCCCACTTCAACCCATTGCCCACAGGAGCTGCAAAGGTAGGTAACATTTAGAGCATAAACCTGAGCCCCCTTACCATCCTTTGCTGGTTGTAAGGCTCAGATTGGGGTGACTTGTTGTCATCTGTGGAGCCCTCTGACGCTCTTGGCTTCTTTCTGAGTCTTTTCTCACTGGCATTTTTGGAGGTTAAATGTGATTCATTGTAGGAGTGGAGAGAGGCTGTGTCAATCCCCAGTGTTGCCAGCAACTGAGGATAGAGAACAGCAGCTGCAGCCAACAGCATCTGGTTGGGCTTAGCTAAATGTGTCTCTGTAGTAGACTCTGTTGGTGCCCTACCCAGGTCTCTTTTACCAGGTCAATCCACCCATCCCTAGCCATTTGAGTGGTAGCTGCTAATGGCTCACACCTGCAGCATTCCGCAGAAAATTTCTTTTGGCTGTCTGCACCTGGGGCAGGTACAGGGTAACAAAAGGCCAGCCCCCTTTCCTCAAGGTAGGGCTAACTCTGTGATACAAGTCAAGCTCTAGAGCTTCCCATGGGAGCAGGCTGAAGCTGGTCTCCTCCTGAGACCACTCCTTGTTTAGTCCCACCCCCTGCCCCATCCTGCTTCCTTCACTCCCTTCTCCTGAGAGCACTTCAATAAATGACTTGCACAAGAATCCTGCCAGGTTTTTTTTTTTTTTTAGAAAATCTGACCTAAGAGGATCCCTGAGGTAAGATGAATCCTCCCGCAGTTCCCTAGAATGGTAGCCCTAACCTAAGTGGCTGGTCCAGACCTCTGTCCAAGAATGTACAGCCTGCAACTGACTTCATGAAACTTCTGCCCCTCACAAACCTCCTGTTCCTTCCGGAGCATCTCAAGGGCCTCTTGGAACCTCTTCTCTTTTGCTTCAATTTCATCAGTGGTTGCCTGGTTCTGCTCCTCATATGCCATAGTGACCACAGCCAAGATCAAGTTGACCAGGTAAAAGGATCCCAGGAAAATGACAAGCACGAAAAAGACCATGTAGATTTTCCCAGAAGCCCTCAGGGTCTGCAGATTCAAGGGAAAGAAGAGAAACCTGTACCTATAGCACATGGGCCGCTGAAGTTAAGTCAGGATCCTCCAGAAAAAAATGTAGCCATGCAGCTGGCCCACCAACCTTCAATCAAATCTTTATGGGGACATACAGATCAATACCTGCTGGTAGAGGCGTTCCCAGGAATCCTGTGTCATGAGACGAAACAGTGAGAGGAAAGCCCAAGCAAAGGAATCAAAACTGGTGTAGTTAAAATCCGGGTTTTCAGAAGTTTTCAGGCAGATATAACCATCAGGGCAGTGGCTGCAGCAAGAACAGAGAAGGTCATCCATTGCACAGCCCTCTGCCTATTTGGGGGAAGGCAGCCCAGGGCTGCAGGAAGACCATGGGGTTTGAAGTCAGAGATCGGAGTTCAAGGCCTGGCCTTCCTCTTATTAGTTGCATGACCTTGGACACTTAATCTCTTTAGGCCTCAGTTTCTCTCATCCATGGGATGGGGATATTGATACTTTTACTCCTGAGTTTCATACATAGGGATGTGGCCTGGGGAAGGCCAGCCAACTGCTGAGCTGTAATTCCATAAGGTGTCAAGCTCTTTGCCAGTTCACACTAGTGAAGGGAGAGTGAGTAGCACTAATGCAGACTTAAAACTCGAGCCTGTCAGCATCATCTGCAGAGTTGTCTATCAAAGGAAGACTCATATTAGCCAAGTTCACTGACCAATTATATATAACAATGAAAATAACACTTTCCACTTACTGAGCACTTATCGTATACCTCTCTCTCCCCTAAGTGCCTTACAAACACTATAATCATCTCAACCCCACTTCCTCCTTACAGATGAGGAAGTTGGGGTTCAGGCAGAAGTCAGTTGCCTAAAACCATACAGGTACCAGCATATTTATTTAAAAGGAGAAATATAACCATCAAGTAGCCCCATACTTGAGTCAGCCCAGCCTCCTTCTGAAGACTGGCCTATGAAGGAAGGCCGATTAAAGATGCTGTTTGGCGAGTTTTGAGGTGGGGAGTGCTGGACTCCTCTCTTTCTCTCATAATAAGGGGATGAGTTGATGTCAAGAAGACTCTCTCAGCTCAGTGGGAATGGCCTGGTCAAGGTAACAGTAGTGTCTTGTTTATAGCTTCAGATTCTTTTACTCCCAGGATTCCTTTATCAACACCAACCTCTGACCCTCTCCTTATTCCAGACATCCATGTGAACACACAACCCCAAGACCCATAAAATTCATTAGGGCTCTGACAACTTAATTATAATCAATTCCAAGTCTCTCCATCTTGGATGGAGATTTGAAATTCCCTGACTCTGTAGACCCACATTTAAAGGCAGTCTCTTGGTTTGCTCAAGGAACTGTCAACCCATTACCTGTAGGCTTTCTAATTAACTCTGAGGGCAGCCTTATTTCCATGGAACCCCACTGTAGCCACTACACATCAACAGCTAACTGCTCAGTGTAGCAACTGTTCACTGCTCTGAGGAATAAATGAGGCCACTGTGCAAGGTCTCTTGCAAATATTGTATGCAGCAAATATTGTATATAAAATGCAAATATTCAACATAGCAAATATTGTAATAAATACAATGTAGCAATGTTGTATATAAAATGCAAGTTAAAATTCCTGCTGTTTGTAACCTCAGAAGCTACTGAAAAGATGAACTAGAATAACATGTGAAAGAATGCTGAAAATCATAAGGTGTTTTCTAGTACCTGTTCTTCACCTGGAGATTCCAGACTTTCCTCCTACAGTACCATTGATCAGTGTGGGCCTTTGCTCAGCGTGCTGGCCTCTCCTGCCATCCCAGCCCACTCCTCTGCTGCCTGGCTGGGGCCTGCCCAGCAGGAGGCTTGGCCTCTGTAGGAGCTTAGGGGTGCCCATAGATGGACCCCACAACTTTACCATGGAAAGTGCTTAGGCTGCTCTGGCACCATCGTCTTGAGAAATGCCATCATGTAGACAAGAAAAGGACATTGAAGGTGTTCTTGGTTTAAATTTCAGTCAAAAGCAAATGAAAACTGATGTCAGAACAACCCTTTTCCTGAGCCAAAGAACCAAATGCCAAGTGCATTAGTGAAGAAAGAGGCCAATGAGCCTGATGTTGAGCAAATTCTCCTGTTTGTCCCCACCCCGCAGCTCTAGCTCTACCTGAGATCGTTTTCCTAGTGATCTGATTAAGGTGGAGCCTCATGCAGGTTCCACCTGGCTCCACTTGGGCAATGTGGGGCCATCAGCCATTCAGGGAGTGGGGCGTTGTGAGCCCTGATCTTCCAGGCTCCCAGCTGTGGCAGTGGGAGAGATGGGCCTTTCTGATCTGTTGCCTGAACTGCATACCTCACTCCAGTGGCCCAAGTAGCAGGCAGAACTGAGGGGTCCTCTCCCCTTAGCTTTGTTTCACATTCTGTTCTGCCACCTGGAATGGCCTTTATCCAAACCATCTCTCATTCACCCAGGCTGGAGACATCCTACCTGCCCTTGAACACTCACCTCAACCACCACCTCCAGGAAGCCTTCTTTCTTGGGTCACACTATCACCTCTCCATGTTTCTCCATCCCATGGAGACTCTGGCACATTTGTTCTCCTCAATTCAGTATCTTTATGTGCACATATGAAAGATTGCAAACTGGCAGCTTACAGGCTGAATTTGGCCTGCAGAAATATTTTATTTGACTCCAAAATATGTAGACATTTTTTGGAACTGGTAGCCAATATTTATAGTTGGGAAACTTTACATAAAAATATAAATCTCCCATCTCTCTTTTAAATGTTTGAAGCAGTGGACCCACATTTCCACATTGCAACCAAAATCTGGACCCAGCAGTGGCTTCTCCTTTATCTGGGGCATGAACTCTCAGTTGCCTTGGTTCCCACCTGGCCCACTCCACTCATTTATCATGTCTCTGGCCTCTGTAAGAAGTTGAAATTGCAGTCTGATGTATGTGTTTCTTCCTCTGTTATATGAAGATAATGAAAACCATAGGATGGAGTTAGCCATGATGATTAAATGTAGAATATGTGACACAAATATATTTAATAAATGTTAGCTCCTTCCTGGAGTAGATTGGAAAAATGATTGCAAAAATGACCACAATTCTTCCCCTCCCTGTGTTCAAACCCCTTTGCAATATGACCTTTCAGCTTCCTCTACCAAGAGGTGGAGTCTATTTCACCGACCCTTGGATCTAGACTGATCCCTGACTTGCTTTGGTCAATAGAATGCAGAAAAAGTGATATTATGCCAGTTCTAAGTCTAGGCCTCAGGAGGCCTTTTGCACTTCCACTCTTTCTCTTGGAACCCTGCCTCTGCTGGGAGAACAAGCCCAGACTAGCCTGCTGGGGGATGACAGACCACACAGAGCAGAGACAGGGCATCCTAGACCAGCCATTTCCCAGCTAATCTGTCTACTGCCTGCAGATGCATGAATGAGCCCACTCAATGCCAGCCAGTGTCCAGGGGATATCCCAGCCCAAAATGCTGATGCATGGAATTATGAGTTAAATATATGGTTGCTGTTTTAAGTCACAAGCTTGAGGTCATTTGCTATGCAGCAAAAGCTAACTCAATACACTCCTCCCCATGCATTCTGGGATGGCAAAGACCATGACTTATTTGTTTCTACATGTTCCTCAGGACCTGCGATCCAGTGTCTGCCCAGAAAATGCTGAGGACAAGGTGGAGAAAGACCTATTAGGCCTTGATGCTTTGTCATGGTTTGGGCACTCACCCTGCACCAGATCCATTGCCGCACAGTAAGGGATCAGAAGTGCCTGGCTTATTAACGTACAAATCTGCCAAAGAAAGGAAAAAATTAAGCCTCACAGATGGTTCTGAGCCCTCCAACTCAAGCCTTGTGTGGCGAAGGCAACACCTCCTGTGTTCTGTCTGAGGCGAGCTCCCTCAGCTACATGCACTTAGTGGGCACACTGGGACACTTAGAAGGTGTAAAGTCGCATCTGAGAAGAGCTGAGCAGTGACTTCAGCTCTAAGTCTCCTGCAGCAGAGGCAGAATGACTTGTGGCTTGCCTCTGGATTTGTAGCTCATTTCATTCCAAAAGGGACACTGGGCAACAGGAAATGGGGAGCCCAAAAGTAGAACACAACTCCGGAGAAGCATTTCATCAGGAAAGAAATCAAAATATATACTTATACAGATGTGCAGAGGCTACACACCCCTAGCTCCAATGTCCATTGATCCCAAGGTCCCAACCAGACCTCAGTCCCTATGGTAGAAATTCCACTCACCTTTTCCATGAGATGAGGAATTGGCCACCCCATCGACAGCCGTGGAATTCCTGACACATTTGTTCTTGAGGTTGCCCTTGAACAGCTGCAAGCCCACCAGGGCGAAGACACTCAGGCAGAAGATGGTGAGGATGGTCACGTCAGCCAGCTTCCTCACCGAGTGGATCAGGGCCCCCACAATGACCTTCAGCCCTGTGGGAAGATGACAGTGATATCCCCATTTGGATGAGGCAGCACATACAGAGCACACGCATGCATCTTGCCATCCTGTCCCCTCTCTACACACAGTTGTGGAGCATTTACAAACTCCAGGGCAGTTCCAAGCCCAGTTTCTCATCTGATCCTTGCCATTACTGTGAGAGGAAGACAGGCAGGGACTATTGTCCTCATTATAAAGACAAGGAAACTGAGACTCAGGCAATGAACTTCTTATCATCTTAAGGCTAATAAATTTCTGACATTAGCAATTCAATTAACAAAAATAATAGTTGAGTACCTACTATGTTCCAGGCACTGTGCTAGGCATGAGGCTATTGACTTCACTCCAGCCATTTGACATTTTTCTGACCTCATCTCAGTTCTAGGAGGAAGCTTGAGGCTTGGGACACATGAGCCTCACTCTGTGTGTGTGTGTGTGTGTGTGTGTGTGAGAGAGAGAGAGAGAGAGAGGTGCCAAAGAGATAGAATGAGAAAAAGATAGAGAGACAAAGAGAAAGAGAGAGACATAGATACAAAGACACAGAGAGATGAACTTAGCAGTAGAGTGTGACCACGAAAAACAATGAAGCAGAAACAGAGAGAACCTGTGCTAAGCACAGCTGGCAGCAAAGATGGGATCCCTGCTTGTTTAAGGAGAGATGATTTGTTGCTCTAGCAAATGAAATCAACTTCTTTAGGAGAGCAGCTTCACAGGTAGAAGAAAGAGCTTGACCAGGAAAGCAATCTGGAATCTATCTTTGGTTTGTCATTTTGATCGACAAATAATCCATTGAGCACTACTCACTTGTCAGTACCTGGGCTGGGAACTGAGTGATGATTAAGGCACTGATGTGTGGTGGGGTTGTCTGACAATTGAGGGGAATTTCATAGCATCATCAAGCAGATGGGCAGACAGAGGAGCAGCACTTATCTGAAACTCAGGGGGCAAGGGAAATGGGGTGGGGTGGGGTAGAGTGTGGGGAAGTTGGGAAAGACTAGGGAGTCTCCTTCAGTAGGTAAAGGACATCCTGAAAGAAGGAGCAGCACAGCCAAAGGCTGGGAGGTGGAAAAGGTCATGGAGTATTTGTGGAATCACAGGTAGATTCTGGAACATGAATCAAGGTGGCTAGAGGTGAGAGAAGAGGCAGAAGCAGGAATCTGGACAAGCCAGTTCTTGTAAACATGACTCAGGTCTTCCTGGCTAAGAGTGGGTGAGATGAATACCAAGGGGTACAACTATGGCTCTCTTCATGAAGAGGTTTGCCCTGTGGAAATTGGCACAGAGTGTCCAATCTTTCTCTGCAGAGCCAGACATGGAACGGTAGAAAGAGTCTTCCACTCTAGAATGAGTGTTTCTTTTTTACAGATGAGAGAACAAATTCACGGAGTCTCAGGGGTGAGGGGAGATAACCCATCAGGACATGAAGGATAAGTGTTGAGTCTGTTTCAGGAGGTTTACTTGGTCTCTGGCCTCACCATCCCCACCATCAACCTAGTGGGGGGATGAGAAACAGTCACTGGGCTACTAGTGACAGTCAAGATCATGGAGGCCAGTAAGATGAGCTTTGATGGACAGCTTTTGTTTCTGAATTCCCTATAATCAAGAATTGCCTAATTATTTTCTTCTCTGGAGATCCAAAGACAGAACTGGGGCTCAGGCTTTTAGATTTGTGGAAATAGTGAAGCGCCTAGGACTGCTCTCTCCCTGCTTCCCATTTCCAAGTTCAAACCTTTAGTTTAAGGTATAAATGTGACTCCAACTGGGGGCCTTTCCTGAACCCCACAACATGAGCAGAAAATGATGACATAACCCTTTTGTCATTTATCAAGTGTGTGGCCATGTGGTAAGTGGACAGAGGATTGACCTAGGAATCAGGACATTAGGCTTTCGTTCGCACCGCATCTTACTAGTGATGAGGCCTTGAGCTTGTGTTTTCCAACACTCTAAGCCTCAGTCTTTTTGTCTCTTAGATGAGTATTTGTGAAAATCAAAGAAAAGCCTGAGGCTGTGAAACTAACATATGCTCTGTGGATAAATATGCTGGTTGAAGCAGCTCACCTGGGATCACAGAAACTGTTTTTAAAGCTCTTAGAACTCTGAACGTCCGAAGGCCTGAGATCCCTCGGAGATCAATCGCTGCACCAACGTATCTGTAGGACCAGAAGTCAGTCAGCATTACTGCAAGGAGAGGGTCCTGGGAATGCATGCAGCATAAATAAGGACTATTTTGGGTAACACAAACCTAGGAAGAACCCAGAATAGACACTGAGAGTTTAGTGACCCTTCCGTCTATAGACTGACACTGATTTAATTGTTGCAACATCTTTTAGAGTGGACCATTTGAGAAGATGCATTGTGATCTAGGTGACTCTGCCTGCTACAATATATGGATGAATATTCAAATATGAGGGCTGAGCCAACCAGTCTCCTCAGAAACTGGTTCCTCAGGGAAAGAACCCCATGTGGGCTAAGTACAAGGCTGAGTCTTGTCTGATCCATTTTGACAGACCAGTTATAAACTAAGATTTGAGGTATTTGACTTTGCCCTGTGGGTGTGGTGACCCCCAAAGCATAATTCTGTGGTAAGAAAACCCCAGCCCATTCAGTTCCATATGAGGAAGCTGTACTGAGAGGAGGAAACACCCCAGAGTACGAGCCTGAACACACCCATATGCCCCACATGGAAGGACACACACAGAAATCAGCATGGAGAAATACTCACGCCAGGGAAATGACACTAAAATCCAGCCAGTTCCAAGGATCTCGCAGGTAAGTAAACTCATTTAGACAGAATCCTCTTGCCAGTATCTTTATCAAGGCTTCAAAGGTGTATATGACAGTGAAGACATACCTGGGAGGTAGAGTAGAAAGAATTGTTAACTATGCTGTGGAGGGAGCTCAGCTGGGTCCTTCTGCCTGGAGGAGGGATAGATGAGCTGCATGATTGTTCCAAGGGAAAATGTGCAAAGAACATCACCAAGGTGGGGAAGGGGAAAGAGGTAAGGTAAGGAGATGAGGCGTAGACAGAGGAACACTGAGGAGGCGTGCAAACGGGTGGGGTGGGGAGGATGTGTGTGTGGCTGAGATGGCTGGGAGCCTCTGCTGCTCTGAGAGTAGGCAGAAGGCAGTGGCAGGAGAAGAGCAAGGATCCTCCCATTCCACAAGGCTCCCAGAGGCTCCCTGCCCTGCAGGAAGCTGAAGGCTCTTCTCACAATCTGTTGATGGTGGAAGATGTGGAAGAGGGATGAGGCCCTCCTACTCCCAACTGTCTTTTCTTCTCACACCTTGCCTGGTCTGCCTGCATTCCTGGTCATGGGAGAAAAAAGCATCTAAATCCACAAACATTTTCTGAGGAGGATGGATTCTGATAGAGGAAGTTGTCTCAAACAGCCCTTTGTTCTGCTGGGTACCTTGGTGGGTTTGGATTTGAAGCAATGAAAGTGGAGTTGAGGTTGGCAGCAGCTCAGTGTTTCTCAAATGACCAGAATCCCTCGATCACCTACAGCAGTTGTTTTCAAATTCTGGCAAGCGTCAAAACCACCTGAAGGGCTCGTTCAAACATATTTCTGGGCTCCACTCTCAGAGTTTCTGATTCAGTAAGTTGGGGGTGGGGCTCAAGAATTTGCATTTTTAGCAAGTTCTCAGCTGATGCTAATGCTGATGGCCTGGGGAACCACCCTTTGAGAACCACTGACCCAAGGAATTCAGGCACACACACAGAAATCACAGATAATTTTGGGTACACTGATTTTTTTAAATTATAAAATTATAAACCTAAACTCTTATTAAAAATAGGAATACTTTTGATTAAATATGGCAGATAGGATACAAATACTCACCTCTATCTTTTCTGAACTAAGATGGCAGTAAAAGGACTTTTAAATTTTTATTTATTCATTTATTTTGGGGGTCATTGGCCAGTATGGGGATCTGAACCCTTGACTTAGATGTTATCAACACCATGCTCTAACCCACTAAGCTAATTGGTTAGCCTAGTAAAAGGACGTTTTAAAAAGGCATAAACCCACCAGGACAAAGATGATAGAGAGCACAACAACATTTTGTAAACTAGAATGCAGATTGATGAGTGGTAACTGACAGAGCAGACGTAAGAGAGCTGAAAACTAGCTGGAAGTGGGGAGTGCCCAGAGCAAGCAATGTTACGCTGCAGAATCTCAGAACTTCTTAGAACTTAGAGCTGCCAAATATCCCTGGAAGTGGGACTTGGGAAGGGGTGGCAAGTAGAGCTGAAAGGACTGTTTGAAAGCCTTTACAAGAAACAGTTGGGCTTTCTAGATCCCACTTTATACCATCCATTCAGTGAGAAACTGTTTCCTCTGCTCTTGAGATAGATTGGTTGTTTGTTCTCTCTTAAAAGTTGAGAAAGGGGGAGACAGATGCATACTGAAACGTGTGTTTAAAGGAAAAGTTTACATACTAAAAGGCAGACATCCCCTCCCCCACTTCTGCCCCTTATTAAGTTCCTAGAAGACAGTCAGGTTTATAGCCCACAAAGATACTGCACTTTTAATATAAACAGCCAGCCAATGAGCATCAGGAATTTGAAGGATGCCTCTAACACCAAAAGCCAAAGCAACCAATCAGAGGGAGAGAGAGAAAGAGAGAGAGACAGAGAGACAGACACACAGAGAGAAAAAATATGAATGCAGCGAGCATAAGAAAAATTAGAGTAAAAAACTACCATTAATATTTTCATAGCTGTAGAGAGTTAGGAGCTGAGAAGATACTACATAATAAAACAAGAACAGAAAGCTATAAAAAAGAATACTCAAAGAAAGACCTTTGAAACAAAAATATAATAGCAAAAGTAAAACATTAATAGGAGGACTGAAAACAAATTTTTGGAAATCTCACAGAAAGTGAAACAAATAGAAGGAATATATAAGAAGTGATAAAAAGTATGAAAACTATAGAATCAGACAGTAGGTACAATGTCTGACCAATAGGAGGTCTAGGAAAAAAAAAGAGAAATACACTGGAGGAAATTATTAAAGAAACAATTCAAGAAATTTTTTCAAAACTGAAGGATGTAAGTATTCAGTTCAAAAGCAGCTACAAAAATTCAGATCCCTGTACTAGCCAGCCACAAAACAAAACAAAACAAAACAAAACAAAACAAAACAAAACAAAACACCTGCAAATGTTCAGGAAAATAAACGACAAAAGCTTGCATCAAGACATAACAGGACAAAATTTTAGAACATTGTACACA